AAGAGAAGTTGTTGAGGGTGAGGACGAGTTCGGCTAAGCGGATGAGGGTGTCAGTGGAGGGGGACTGGTCGGGCCTGCTGGACAGGAAGAAACGGAGGGCCTTTAGGCCATCTGTATGGAGAACGCAGGTGTATAGGGACTGGACGTCCATGGTAAAGATGAGGTGTTGGGGACCAGGGAATTGGAAGTTCTGGAGGAGGTGGAGGGCATGGGTGGTGTCACGGACATAGGTAGGGAGTTCCTGGACCAAGGGGGAGAAAATGGAGTCCAGATAGTTGGAGATAAGTTCAGTGGGGATGTATCTGTACTTGAACTAGATTCTCATTAAGGAGCAACTGACAGTCATGTTGACCATAATAGGGAAACAGTTTGAAAATGCTATTGTTTGGTGAATTTGTGTTAATGGAGTGATTTCAGCATTGAAAAGTGCATGCAGCTCAGTGTTAGTTGATTTACGAATGTTTGGCTTGGAGTCAGCAGCGAATGGAATGATTATAATGTTCCTTTTAGTAAAGAGCTTCCTGTACAGTCTAATAGAATATTTGACCAGTGATGGTAAGCAGCCCTTGTCCAATGTTTGTGTTTTCAAGTAACAGTGCAGTGCAGGTGACGAAATAGTTCATGTCGAGTTTGGAAAGGGTTACCACCTGATCAAAGTTCCCTGCTGACGATGCTCATATAAAAAGGGCAAAGTAACTACAGGATTACTGACTGCCACGGCAAACCTTTGACTTTATCATTTGCATCCTCATGTTCAAATCTCTCCACAGTCGAAGCCTGTAACCAACATCTCTATAAGCTTCCTTCAACTCCACAACCCATTAAGATCTTCACGCACCTCCACCTTGTTCAACAATAAAGTGCTCATTGACGTTCAATTTGGGATCTGCTGGACCCCCCACCCCGCAAACCCCTCATCTTCTTATAGCTGTGATCTAAGCATGGACAGAAGAGCAGAATAAATAGGGAAAATGAGGGTGACATCAAGGCTATATTTGCCCAAAGCGTGGCATTAAGGAGTCTGAAGAAAAATTAAGAATGGTCATGAAGTGCTGGCCTATTCTGTGATCAAATAACATAAATTTGTGGGGAGGTGATGGGCTATTATCGCTAGTGGTATTATCGCTAGTCTATTAATCCAGAGATCTAGGTAATGTTTTGGGGACCTCTGTTCGAATACCACCATGCCAGATGGTAGAATTTGAATTCAATAATAATCTGGAATTAAGAGTTTAATGATAACCATGAAACCATTTTTGATTGTCAGAAAAAAATCCATCTGCTTCACTAATGTCCTGTAGGGAAGGAAATCTGCCATCCCTACGTGGTCTGGCCTACATGTGATGCAAGACCCACATTAATGTAGTTGACTCTTAACTGCCCTCTGGGCGGAAGTATGGGTGATAAATGCTGGCCTAGCCAGCAACAGCCACATTCCATGAAGGAATTGTTTCATTAAAAAAAAATCACAGTCCCAACTTGTGCCTTCTGTTTGGTGGGCAGGCCTTGAAAAGTCAGATGATAAGTTACTTGCCACAAAACTCCTGGTGTCTGATCCACACCTGTAGCTGTGGTATTTTTACGGCTGGTTTAGTTACGTTTTTCGTCAACACAGGATGTTGATTGTCAGGGCTTCAGAAACGGTAGGAAAAATTTGTATTTGGCACTTTTAACAAAATCAAACATATTAAAGCCCTGCAAACTGCTTCATATACACTTTATCAAAACAAAACTTGACACTGAGCCACATGAACTGTTCAGGCAAATGACCCAAAATGTGATCATAAATGTAGTTTTGATGATGCGCAAGTATTTTAACCTCTCTCCCCTCCTCTCCATCCTTTTGTGGGCAGAATTCTAGGGCTTCGGGCCTAGGGAACTGAATATATGATCAATCAGTGTTGAGGTGGTATAATCAGGTATACCCAAGAGAATAGAATTGAAGGAGGGCAGATATCTTGGAGGTAAGTAGAGCTGGAGAAGATTAGAGATAGGGAGTGGTGAGGCTATAATGGAATTTGAAAATAAATGAGATTTTGAAATTCAGGCATCATCATGCCCTATAATTGAGGGAAGATGATTGGTACAGCAGATGAAGATAACTAGAATTTATTCTGAACTGAGAGATCTGACACCTCCTACTGCCCCCTAGATTATGACCCCACCCCTGGCCACCAGACTATCGTCTCTCACCATTCCTAACCTCAACAGCTCAGGTGACCTCCCTCCCACAGCCTCCAACCTCTTCGTTCCCCAACCCCGCACCGCCTGTTTCTATTTCCTTCACAAAATCCACAAACCTGACTGCCCCGGCCGACCCATTGTCTCTGCCTGCTCCTGCCCCACCGAACTCATCTCCACTTACTTTGACTCTGTTTTCTCCCTCTAGATCCAGGAACTCCCCACCTACATCCGGGACACCACCCATGCCCTCCACCTTCTCCAAGACTTCCAATTCCCTGGCCTCCAAAACCTCATCTTCACTGTGGACATCCAATCCCTGTACACTTGTATTCCCCACACAGATGGCCTAAAAGCCCTCCGCTTCTTCCTCTCCCACATGCCCAACCAGTCCCTTCCACCAACACCCTCATCCGCTTAACCGAACTCATCCTTACTCTTAACAACTTCTCCTTCAACTCCTCCGACTTCCTACATACTAAGGGGGTGGCCATGGGCACCCGCATGGGTCAGAGCTATGCCTCTATCTTCGTAGGATACGTGGAACAGTCCCTCTTCTGCAGCTACACTGTCATTATCCCCCACCTCTTCCTCCACTACATCGATGACTGTATTGGCGCCGCCTCATGCTCCCACAAAGAGCTTGAACAGTTCATCAACTTTACTAACATCTTTCACACCAACCTCAAATTCACCTGGACATCTCTGATACCTCCCTCCCCTTCCTGGACCAATCTGTCTCCATCTCTGGTAACCGCCTCAACACCGACATCTATTTCAAGCCCATCAACTCTCATCGCTACCTGGACTACACCACCTCTCACCCACCTTCCTGTAAGAATGTGATCCCCTACTCCCAATTCCTCCACCTCCGCTGCATCTGCTCCCAAGATGGAGCATTCCACTCCCAGACATCCCAGATGTCGTCTTATTTCAAGGATCACAATTTCAATCAGTGATCAAAAGTGCCTTCAAACGCATCTCTTGCACTTCCCGCACTTCTGCCCTCAAAACCCCTCCCCTCAACAAAAATAAAAACAGAATCCCCCGGCTACTGTCATATCAAATCAACAACCTCCATACCTAACGTATCATTCTCCACCACTTCCGCCACCTACAATCCAACCCCACGAACAAAGATATATTTCCCTTGCCTCCTTTCTCTGCCTTTCATAGGGACCACTCTCTCCACGACTCCCTTGTCTGCTCCACACTCCCCACTAGCCCCACCACACCCGGCACCGTGCTATACCTGCCCCTATATCTCCCCCTTCACCTTCATTCAAGGTCCAAAATAAATCTTTCATATCAGACAGGGGTTCACCAGTACATCCTCCAACTTGGTCTACTGCATCCGCTGCTCTCGATATGAACTCCTCCATATTGGTGAGACCAAGCATATACTCGGAGACTGTTTTGTCGAGCATCTGCTCTCTGTATATGACAAACAAAAACACCTGCCAGTTGCGAACCATTTTAACTCTCCCCTCCCACTCTCTGGCTGCCTCAGTGTCACAATGACGCCATCCACAAACTGGAGGAGCAACACTTCATATTCTGCCTTGGGAGACAACAGCCCAATGGCCTAAACTTGGAATTCCCCAGTTTTAAAATCTTCCCACCCCTGGTCTCATCCCATGTCCAACCATCCCTCTCATCCCTGCCTCCTTGACCTGACACAACCTGTCCATCTTCTCTCCCACCTATCAGCCCCACCCTTCCTGCTGACCAATTCCCACCACTCCCTACCTGAATTCCCCTATAACCATCCCACCTACCTTCCCTAGCCCCAACCCCTCCCCATTTATTTCCCAGCTCCCTTCCCCCTCCCCATTTCTGAAGAAGGGTCCCGACCCGAAACATCAACTTTCCTGCTCCTCTGCTGCCTGACCTGCTGTGTTCCTCCAGCTCCACACTGTGTTGTCCTGCAATGATGTCCTTGAGCTGAGATCCTGGGCGTCGCACAGTCACGACCATCTACCTTTGTGCTTGATTTAATTCTAAGCAGTTTTCCCGCTGATTCCCATTGATATTAGGTTTGCTAGGGCTTCTTGATACCATGCACAATCAAATGTTGCCTTGATATCAAAGGAAGTAACTTGCTTCTTGCTTTGAGTTCACCTCTCTTGGCCATGTTTAGACAAGGCCATGATAAAATCTGGAGCTGTGTGCTCTTGTTGGAACTTAAACTGAGCATCAATGTGCAGGTTACCTCTGAGTACGGGCTGCCTGGTCGCTTTGTTGACAACATCTTCCACCATGTTGCTGCTGGTTGAGTGTAAACAGGCGCAGAGCTAATTGGCTGGAATTGATTTATCCTGCTTTTTGTGAGGGTATGTCTGGGAGTAGGTGCAACCCTATGGAAGAAGTATGCGGAGATTGCTAATTGTGTGATCGCAGCTGCTTAAAACCAGGCAAAATTTATGTTCTCACTAATGTACCATCACAAGGATTACAGTCAGTCACTCGGTGATTGAGGAGTTTCCCAGACTTTTCTTTTCCTCAATTAATTGGTTGCTAGTTCTGTTTAGATGAATTCCTGGACGTTTTGTCAGGTGACCAACCTGAAGATTAATCCTTAATTAAGGAAGGCTGCAGGATAATCCTGGAATGTTGGCAATCTCCTAATTTAGTCTGGGTTTTTAACCTTTTTTAAGCCGCTCCGGGGAGATCATGTTGCTTCTGGAGAGAAGCATCAGGACCATGTCGGACAGGTTCAGTTGATCAGCCTGTCTCTTCCTGCCACTTGTTTTCAATGTCACCAAAAGATGCAGACAAATTTGGCTGTTTAATCTAATGCTTCTCTCTCTCTCTCTCAGTATCAGAACTGCAGGAAGAAGGGAAAAATGCCATCAACTTGCCACTCAGTCCCATTCCCATTGAGTTGGATCGTGAGGACACAATGCTGGGTAAGAGGCTCCTTTTTAAATCGGCTTTACGTGCTAAAGTAAATGAATTGGTGGTGATTGAGTACTGCTGCCGTATTTACAGAATAATTATTTACTTCCCAGAGGAAAATGAGGTTCGAACGATGCTTGACCCAAACTCAAGACATGACCCTAAACTACTCGAACTGATGAGGGTAAGAAGAGAATATTAAAAACTTGCCTTTCTTTATTGACTTTGGAAACTTTAAGACATTCCAAACACAATACATCTTAATCATGTCCCTTACGTAGTTGCGGGAAGGGGAAAGGCAGTGGCTGCTGTGTGCACATCAAGTTCCCACAAATCACAGTGAGATAATCATCAATAACTGATACTCACTTTGTGTTTCATCAGAGCTACATGACCTGTTAACCTCATTAAAGCCTTGATCTAAACATGAATACAAGTGCTGAATCCGAGAGAAGAGGTGAGACTGTCTGCCCTTGATATCAACACAGCAGTTGGCTAAAGTATTGCATCAAGGAGTCAGTGGGAATTGGGGGAAATCTCTACATTAGCTTAAGTCATACCTGGCACAACAGAAGATGGCTGAGATTGTTGGGGCAAATCATCTCAGCCCCAGGAGTTCCACAGGTGGTGTCCTAGGTCCAACCATCTTCAGTTGCTCCGTCAATGACCTTCCATCCATCATAAAGTCAGAAGTGGGTAGGTTTGTTGACTATTGCATAATAGTCAGCAGCATTTTCAACTCCTCAGATAATGAAGCAGTCTGTATGCAAAAACAGCAGCTGATGGAATCAGAGACAACACAGCGTGGAGCTGGAGGAACACAGCAGGCCAGGCAGCATCAGAGGAGGAGGAAAGTTGACATTTCAGGTCTTCTGAAGAAGGGTCCTGACCCGAAACGTCAACTTTCCTGCTACTTTGCTGCCTGGCCTGCTGTGTTTCTCCAGCTCCACACTGTGTTGTCTCTGTATCCAAGTTCAGCCAGGTCTAGATAATGTCTGGGTGTGGGCTGACAATTGGCAAGTAACATTTGTGTCACTGAAGTGTCAGGAAATGACCATCTTCAACAAGAGAGGAGCTATGTCCCCTTGACATTCAACTGCATTACCGTTGCTAAATCCCCCACTATTAGTTTACCATTGATCAGAAACTAAACTGGGCTAGCCATACAAATATTGTGGTTACAAGAGCAGGTCAGATGCTGAGAATTCTGCAACAAGAAACCGCTTCCCTGTTTCCCCAACATCAGTCCACCATCTTCAAGTCAGCTGTCTATTCCTCACTCATCTGGATGAATGCAGCTCCAACAACACTTGAGAAGCTCAACATCATCCAGGTCAAGGTAGTCTGCTTGATTGACACCCCAACTAAAAAGTAAACGTAAAGTCACCACAATCCTACTGGACCAAGGACTACTCTCTCCCATTCGAGAGAGATGACTGGTGGTGGTTTAACCTGAGGGTCATCACATCTCGGTTGAGGGGAGAGGTTGAGAAAGAGAATCCTTCATGGTAACCTCAACCAGTGCAGGAAATGAACCTACTCTGTTGGTGTCACTCTGCATCATAAACCAGCCATCCAGCCAACTGAACTAACTGACTAACACCTTCAACATTCACTCTGCCTCTCAGTGCCTTCAGTGTGTACCATACGCAAGAGTACAGCAACTCACTGAGACTTGTTCAACAGTACATTTCAAACCCATAACATCTTTACACTGAGGGACGAAGGCAGCAGATGCATGGGAACACCACTACCTACTATTTATCCTTCAATCCACACACCAGCCTGACTTGGAGCTGTGTTGTTTCTCCGTCACTACCACTAGGTTAAAATCCTAGAAGTCACATTTTAACAGCACTATGGGCATGTCTCAATCAGATGAACTGCAGGGGTTCAAGAACATGGCTTACCAGCACTTCCTCAAGGGTAGTTAGAGATGGGTAACAAATGCTGTCTTTGCCAACAATGCCCACATCTTGTGAAAGAAAACAAAACCCTCAATTTCATTTCCTTGGAGCTTACAATGATACATCACAGGTGGCCAATTGGGCATTGATGCCTGTGCCAGCTATTCCAATCATTATTCGATTAACTCCATTCTCTTCATTTCCTTTTTCTTCGTGTATTTATTAAATTTCATTTCAAAAGCTACTATTGAATCAACTTCTTCCGCCCTTTCTGTTTGAAGGTGCATTCCAGATCACAACAGCTCTCTGTTTAAAAAAGGTTTCCTGAAATTGCCTCTGCTTCTTTTGCTAATCATTTTAACAGTCTGTGTTGCCTGGTTACTGTCCCTCCTGCCACTTGTAGCAGCTTCTCATTATTTACTGTAGCAAGATCCTCCATGATTTTGAACATCTTTAAAGCAATGGAATGTTGTGTGTGCCCAGGTTTTAATTGACTGGATCAATGATGAGCTGGTAGAAGAGAGGATTATCGTGAAGGATTTGGCTGAAGATCTCTATGATGGGCAAGTGCTACAGAAGCTGTTTGGTAAGACTTTAAGAATGGAAATCTTACGTTGATGGCAGATTGGGCTGCAAATAAAGGATATCGAGTTAAGGGTTGCTGTATTTAGTGGTTTGTGACAAAGATCTGATCCAGTTAAAGACTATACACAAAGGGACTGCACCCCATTGTACAACAGATGCAACCATCTGCATTGCACTTTGTTACCCAGTTTCTTTGTTCTTGCTCCCATTGTTTGCTGCATCGTGTATAGGAATCTCACCGAGAGTGGGTGCTCCAAATTCTCATCCTCTGCTACTGCCAAACCTTGGTTGAGCAACAGCAACCTGTGATGGCATTCTGCATAGAGTGCAACAGAATTGAGCAAAATGGTGCTCTCTATCTTTAAGAAGCAGCACCCTCCCATGTATTCTGCTAATGCACTAAACCCTCCTGTTTTTTATTTATAAAATCTGTTTGCGAGTCTTTGTTGTTTCTGGGCAGAGTGTCCTTTACTGCCTTGATTAGTGACGTTGACAGGCCACTATTCTAAACTGGAAGCAGTAGGCTATGTCACTTCAGCAGAGAGAGAATCACAGAATCCCTACCGTGTGAAAGCAGGCATTCAGCCATCAAATCCATGCTGACCCTCCGAAGAGCATCTCTCCCAGACCCACACCCCTATCCAATCCCTGTAACCCCGCATTCCCCATGGCTAACCCACCTAAACTGCACAACCCTGGATATTACGGGCAATTTAGCGTGGCCAGTCCACCCAACCTGCACATTTTTGGATTGAGTTGACTGTCTTGCTACAGCAGTTTGGAGACAGATGGGGTAAGAACAACAGGTAGAAAAAACAAAGTTGCTGGAAAAGCTCAGCAGGTCTAGCAGCATCTGTGAAGGAAAAAACAGAGTTAACGTTTTGGGTCCGGTGACCCTTCCTCAAACCACCCCCCGGACCTGAAACGTTAACTCTGTTTTTTCTTTCACAGATGCTGCCAGACCCGCTGAGCTTTTCCAGCAACTTTGTTTTTGTTCCTGACTTACAGCATCTGCAGTTCTTTCGGTTTTTATTTAAGAACAACAGGTCTTGCTTCTCCAAAAGACATTAGTGAATCAGTTGCGTTTTTCGACATTCCAATGGGTTAATAGTCAACTTTTCCACTTTTATTTTTGGAAATTCTTTCAAAACTTTTCCAAAAGAAATTTTGTCAAAAACGACCATGGTGGGAATTTGAGCTCATGTTTCCTGCATTATACATCCAGTTCTCCAGATTAATGGTTGAACAATAAGGCAATTACACTACAGTACCATTTGTGTTTAACCAAAGATGTCTTATTGTATATTTGCCAACCAGACAAGTCCAGCCAGTCATTTACTTGGTGACTCCTTGAAATCCACATGAAATGAATCTGTGGTAAAAGGGTGCCAACAGTATGCATTATTAGAACTAGCCTTAAATGTACAACTGTACTAAAAACAATTTGCTTAGGTTTTGGGCTATATGCAGAGAAGGTTAAAGGGAAGTTTAGCAGAGATACACAAAATTATGAGGTGTTTAGATCAGAATAAATAAGGAATAATTGTTTCTAGCATCAAGAAGATTGCTAGCCAGAACACACAGATTTAAGTTAATTAGCAAAAGAACCAGAGGGGAAATGGGAACTATTTTTTATGCAGCATATTATTGTGATCTGCAATGCACAGTATGAAAGGACAGCAGTAGCAGATTCAACAATAACTTTGAAGAGAGGAATTGGATAAATACTTGAAAACAAAATATTAACATGATTGTACGGAAATTGCAAGAGTGTGGAGAAATAATTGGATAGCTTTTTCAAAGAGCCAGTGCTGACACAAATGCTGATAAATTCTTACCGCACCAACAGTGACCTACATTCTATTTGCAAAGAACCCAGTTTAATGCTCCTCTGTATTTATCGACATAGCTAGCAGCAAAATTGAACGTACTTTCTCAACCCCACTCCATCCCTTCTCACCTAATTTAGTGAGCACTTTAAAAATATTCTCAGTAGTTATTTTGCCCCTCCTGCCAGCGTACTTTAATGTGTGTGTGTGTGTGTGTGTGTGTGCGCGCGTGCGTGTGTGATTAAACTATTGTCAATGACGTAGTTTGGCCTCATCATGAGTAATTTGTGACAAATATGCAACTTGTTTCTGAAGACTTCTTTTTTCCCCCACAGTCCCTGCTTCTTCAAATGTAACTGATATTTTCCAGAAGTATTTTTTTAGACATTTACTACAGGATCACCTTAATACGTAATTTTTCTTTAGATTTGTTGCAGCTCAAAGTGCCAGAACTGTGTAGCATAGTTGCATATTCAATCCATTGTGCCTGTGCCATTCTCTAAGCGAGCTATTTGAGCCATTCCCCTGCTCTCTTCTCAGAGCCCTACAGACCTTTCCCTTTCAATTATCTACCCAGTTTTAAAAGTTATTATTGAATCTGCTTCTCCACTTTGAGAAAGCGGCAACCTACTTTGGGGATGTGGAAAAAATTGTCATTTTCCCCTTTTGGTTTATTTTGCTAATAACCTTAAAAGTATGGAGAAAAAAATACACAAAATTTGACAATTCTTGATCACTTGCGGCTGGAGATTTACAAGCATCTTCCAATTTGCAAACTTTATTTGCTGAATAATGATTAAACTCCCAGGAGTTTAACTCTCTGGAGTACAGGCGTTACATTGCGAGGCACAGGTGTACTTTTTTTTTAATCTTTAGATCTTAATGCAGCCAACCCTTATCCCATGAGCAAGTAAACTTGGCACTTGACTGAATGGAAAATCAATTAAAAATGGTTTTGAATATCACTACGTCCTGTCCATTTTATATAGAGGAAGTCATAGTTCATTCTTCTGAGCCAAGTCTTTTTTAGTTGAGTAAGCGCATGTACCTAGAGGGGAAAGTATGAGCTGTTTTTTTTGTTTGGTTCCATGTTTGAGAATCCAGCTAGTGTAGTTGAGCTTAGTGTTCATTTGAGATTGATATCATTTGCATCTACCAGCGGTAATAATGGGTTCATTAACACGAGGTTTCATCAGCTCGAGATTCTGAGCATTATGTTATCAATTGCGTGCTGCTGTGATGAATTTTTATTATGATCTGGTTTGGTCGAGCATAATCTTTTAAATAGACTGTGCTGAAGAACGAAGGTAAGAAAATTAGCTGCCTGATTCCAGGTTTGAATGGAAATGTTAGAAAATTCAACGACCTTAAACACAGCAGATCTAAGCGATAAACATAGAAACACCATCACTTGCAAATTCTCCTCCAAGCCACGCACCATCTTGACTTGGAACTGTGCTATTATTTCTTCACTGTCACTGGGTCACACTCCCTTCTGACAACACTGTAGGTGGACCTAACCCTGTAGACTGCAGTGGCTTGGGAAGGTAGCTCACCTCCATCTTCTCAAGGGCAATAAGGGATGGACAGTAAATGCTGCTTAGCCAGCAATGCCCACATCCGACGAAGGAATTTGTTTTTAAAAAATTATTGAGTGTACTGAGGTAAGACCATGTTTTTAAGCCACATACACTATCTACAATCTAAAATTCATGATTAACATGAGATAAATGTGATTTAACAGAAACTGTGGTTGAACATCCTGTAGACTGTGCTTTAAATGTTTGATGTGGTGCATACATTAATGACACTGTATGTCATCAAACACCATTAACTGTGTCTCCTTCACAAGCGACTCCAATTCTTCACTTTCGAAGATCTAGTCTTGGAATGTCTTCAAAGTCTCTCCAAATCAGATTGCCTGAGTGACTGACTGCTTGTGTTGGTAGTTTAATCTGTTCTCCTCAGAATGAGCTCCGAGAATGCCTAAGAATGCTTCCAACCATTGGAAGTTTTTATTTTACAGTTTTTATTTTTACGGATATCTAGCTGCTGCTAAATTTCTCTAAGCTCCTGTCTTTCTTCGCTGCATCAAGCATATACTGCTTGTGGGCTTCCTTCACCCACTTTCAACTGTACAGAGCTGTCAATGACTCCCATGCTCTTTTAAGCTTAATCCTTTTCCATGGCACAAAGCCACTATGCCCGGTCATCCTCCTCAGATCTAACTGCATGATGTTTGCTAACAGCAGCACATGTACTATCTGTACCCATTTCTGCTTCAGCACTGTCCCATAAAACGCACACCCTCATAAATTGAAAACAGAGAATCTTTTAATCTCTACCCAAACCATCTCCGTGACAATATTGCCTGCTTTGGGCTGACCTTTGCCTGACTTTTAGCATTTACTGACTGCTTTTAGACTAAGTTACCTCAATATGTTTTGATACCTACCACTAGCGATAGTGGGTTCATTACACAAGGTTTCTGCAGATAGTGACTCTGACCATTATGTAGCAACATGTACACTGCGATGATCCCAGATTTGAATATTGGACAAGCTGAATCTTTATAATCTTGCTTGATAAACAGTATTCTATTTAAAGAAGAATCGAAGGTAAAATACTGACAAGCCATCCAGACACAAGGGGTGGAATCTTCCGAGCCCCTGAATAATGTGGGCAATGGTGAGTCATTTGGCAAGGTTGGCAGTAATGACATTCTCAACATCAAAAACAATGAAGTCTGATTTTGCAACCAGCTGTTAAGCAGAGAGACAGGAATCTCACAAGTGAACGGCAGAAGCCGATTTGTATGTGATTAATATTTAATTTCGCCTTATTGATATGCAGTTTCTTATTCTCTCACATTGTTATTTCCTGAGATTAACGTCAGAGAGGGCATCTGGTGACTCCAGCTCACCATGTGCTCCTGCTGGCCTCCATTTTGGATAGCAATCACCAGTATCTCAGGACACACCTCCATTGGGCAGTCACTGCCCGTGCAATCACACTCTCTCTTCTCCCCACCCCCCCACCCCAACTCCTTCTCTGTTCACAAACGTTGACATTGGACACTTACCAGTCTTTCCATATCACAATGACACATCCTTGATCCACTTAGAGTCATAGAGATGTATAGCACCGAAACAGATCCTTCGGTCCAACTCGT